AATGTGTGCTATTAGGAAAGTCAAAATGTGATTAAATCACATGAAATTTTGAGTTTTAATAGTAACAACCATTGTTTTATATAGCTGATGGTGTTTTGCAATTAAATGAAATAAAAGATACAAGTATACACAAAGTAATGCAGCAAATTAAATAGAATTCAAAGACTCTGAAAGTCTCCCATGGTTCAGCCCCTAGTATTAGGAACTGAAAGAAGGCTAGAGTCAAATAACATGTAGGTTTATAGGCAGTTAACAGCACTTTGATGTTGTGAGGAGCCAGAACATTAAAGTTCTTAAAGGTGAGCAGCAATATGTTGAATTTCCCCTCTTCTATCCAGAGGGAGCCAGTGAGGAAGCCCCAACAGGGGAGATACAGTATGTTCATGTGTTTTAGTTTTGGTTGAGACCTGAGCAGCTGAGTTTCATACAGTAGCCTACTGCAAGTTGTTAATAATAATATTTTGATACACTAGCAAACACTGCATTTACAATAATCAGGCCCAGAAAAGGCAAGAGCAGAGCATGAACTGACTTTGCAGATTTGTGTATGGATACATGCAATGTTCGAAAAAGATTAAAAAAAGACACCTTCACAGCACTATGAACATCAGATTCAAAGGCAAGATTCCTCATCTGATTACATAGACTAATCAACAAAGGCCGTTACATTTGTGGATTGTAAATTTCTTGTCACACCTTTTGTTATTTCACATTCATAATTTCAACTAATAAGTGGAGACTACCTGGGCAACTGATTCACAGTGATGGAAAAATAAATGGAATGATAGAATTGATAGTGAACAAATTTAAGAACTTATTTAACAGCACCTACTGTAAATCTATTTACCTCCTTAACTGATTTGGAAGCAGTAAGGGTGCACTTACTTTTTCATGTACAGCTTCTGAATGTTGGCTGATTTTGTAGTTGAATAAATAATGACAAAGTAAAATGTGTGTGTATTATACTGTATGTCACATAAAGATAGATGTATCTACAGTTAGGACTTGGTGAGGACTAGATGAAGATCAGAAATGTCTCAATATGTCTTAATACTTCTTGCATTTCTGTTGCATTCATTCACATACCCCAACTTGCTCTCCATGAGACACACAGACAGGGAGAGAAGCTTGGGGTCTGACCTTGCTCTCCATGAGACACACAGACAGGGAGAGAAGCTTGGGGTCTGACCTTGCTCTCTATGAGACACACAGACAGGGAGAGAAGCTTGGGGTCAGAGCGCAAGGTCAGACGTTTATATGGCCGTTCTGTACATGGACTATGCTCCAAACAACAAAGGAATGTGATAAAATATAGAACGAAAGAAAAATATACTACTTGCCTTGCATTCTCCTCACGCATTAAAATATCTTTATACGTGGATTGTGCTCCAATCGAAAAAAAAAACGAATATACTCTACTCGTTTCTCATTTTGTCTCATGCGTAATTCAACAGGTGGGCCGTGCTTCTTATGATTGAATTAAACAAAACCATTGAAGTTAAACAACCAAAAAGACAGAAGTAAAAGAAAACTTACTGTATATGTGTTTCTCTCCTTAACTTTCTGAACTAAAATAAAAACAACTTAAGATAGAAAGAAAGAACCTCAGCTTTGTCCTTTTCAAAAACTCTTTGCTACGGATTTGCACATCTGCTCAAAGAACTTTCACACTTGTTTTTTCAATTCTACCTTTTTTCCTGCTGCTGTCCCCAAAGTCCACCACAGTCCTGGTTCCCCCCTCTCAGCTCCCGCTGCTCCTGATGCCATCTCCCCAGCCCCTGGTCCGTCCAGTGTCCTACCTTTGTCTCAGTAAGAAAGGCATCCCAGTTTCCTCCCTCTCTGTCCCTGTTGCTTGTGTTGCCATCTCCTGGGATCTACATGACATCCTACCTACAGCACAGTCAGCAGGAGTCCTACAGCTTTTAATGCCTAACATAAAGTATGCATTCCCATGCTGTGGCTCTACGTTCCTTCTGTGTTAGTTTCTGCATTGGTTTTTCTGGGGTTTACTTGTTTCCTTTTGGGGTTACGAGCCTCCGCGTCCTGTGGCCAAGAGGATGCCCCTTAAACTTAAGCAGCTTAAGCCAAAACTTAAATACTCAAGACACATTCATGAAACATCTGACTCTTGGATGGCGTGATTCCTTGTGAATCACATTTTAAACTGTGATTAAACACGAATGCTTCACAAAATGTATTTGCGAATTAATCTCCAATAAACTATATGTATGAAGTTTACAAAATGTACTTAATACTTTTGATTCACATTATCAGAATAGTTTTCCATTATTAACTGTTACTGAGGAAAAGGTGGAATGTAAATGCCAAAATTCAATTGCGTTCTTGGAGTTTTCACACATTTGAACCACGTTTCTTTTGTGTTAAGTGATGTCTAACATGTTGAGTGATATCCAGTGGTTTAAACATTTAAACGTTTAAATGAAGGAATGCCCATTAATTTATTTATGATTACCCCCCCTTCACCACCTCAATTATTCTTCAGCTTAGTTTCATTGGACTTGGTTTGACTTCTCAATGTATCAGACAAGACCAGCATAGTACACATTGAAGTCATCTATAAATTTCACGTTTTTTTTAGCACCGAGGATAAATGTGTTAAAATATTGATGCATTCCAAATATATTGATGATTATAGTAGAGGAACAACACAGGGCAATATTTAAATTGGAGTGTAAAAGCATATTGTTTATTTATTTAACAAGGACACAGGTATGTTGGAATGGTACTGCAGGTCTTTTTATATGTCCTCTGTTCTTTCCCTTTTTTATGGTTTTAGCAGAGCTGAGTGCAAGTCCTTTATGCCATTGAATCACCTAACTACAAAATAGTTCACAATGTAACAAAGTAAAACACATAATGAAACCAACTTTTGGGATTTAAGACTGAATATAATGCCCCTGTACTTTGCCACCCATTGTTCAGCTTTGAAAAAACATTAGTTGTGAAACGGGAACCTGAGAATTCCATGCCCTTGAAAATAAGGAACAATGACAGTAGCTACGTTCAGACGCCTTGACAGATTCCTTTCAGTGTGCTGCCACCCACTGCAGATTAAAAATTGATGGCCTTTAGAATTACACTTCTTTAATAACTGACACCCCCCCCAGCCTGAAGAAAAGGGTTAATTTCTTTCTGAAAAAAATACTCTGTAAGACATACTGTTGTACCTGAGAACACAGAAGCCATTTCCGTCGGCAGTAGCTCCAAAAACCATTTCAAATTGTTTCTTGAGAGATCATAAAGAATAAGCACCCAGAGCCTGCACTGGCACTTTGGAGCATACACAACTCTTTAGATACACAGTATGTCCTTAGTAATCGATCTTCTTGAAGTGAGATCTCTGATCTCTGGCACCAGTACTGTACTGTATGTATGCTGTTGTTGAAGGGATTGTTTGGGTTGATTTTGATACTCCATTTCAGAATTTTGGGTACCTCCATCAAGTCTTCCCATAGTCTTTTTCTGGTCCAGAGCTATTCCTGCTGTTTTCACCTATCTACACGTCTTTCTGCCTTGTTGGTCATCCCCCTTCTCAGGCCTCCTTCCATCACAGTAGAAATATTGCTATTGTACTGTATGCTGTGCCATATCAAAATATTCAGAATGAGGTCACAACATCGGTAAGTGATGAGATTTGGTCATGTTTTTTTCCCCTTGATTAGATTTCCTTTTTCTACAACATGACCATTCAGATTACTTTTCCACGTTGGCCAGACTGAACAATTTGTTAACCTAGTTAACACTCGGTGGCTTTTAATAAGTTTATTTAATTGTCTACCGGCCACTTTATGATTAGAACGTGCATTTTTTAATTAAGTTAATGTAAGAGACATTCTAGGCTTCAGCCTTGATTTGGATCTGACCCAATTTCTCTCGAATTTCTTTCAGCTGATGCCAAGTGTTGATGTCTTTGGTGGTGACAACTTTGTAATCTACAGGTTTGCATAATGCTTAGTCAATTGAAGGAGCTGTTATAATTCCTGTTATTTGCTCTGGGAGCAGGCACCATATTCCTTCATGATTAAAACGTGATCTACTGTATGTGATGCTTATGTACCCATATTTTATCTATCTTTAGTTATCAAAGAGATCTTGCTCATATCAAGTACTACTAATTGTCAAAAATGGCTTTTTAATCACAATTTCCCTTTTTTTCTAGTTGTAGCACAGTTCTGGTCTAAACGTGTTTATAGACACGTGGTTGATAGACATTTCTTGGTGTAAACTAAATTGTTTTGATACCCAGTGACAAAGGGTTCCATTATTTTGGAGACTGTGATACATTTATTTCAATCCTTCATTTTTGCAGATGCCAGATATGCTGTGTAGCCCTAAATATTGCCTTTCAGGAGACACCCTGGAGACTCAAAATGTCCTATGCACAAGATGGCCAAGCAGCCTCTCCTCTGCTGAATGATACAATCACATCTTTTCGAGTTTTGAGTTTTTCATGGTCAGTTTAACAACTAAGAAAGTGTTTTGTATTAGGAGGTGTTTCTGAGGTACAGTGCTCTGCGCGTTCGGTGTTTATTTTACATAAACAAATCTTCCCTTAAAGTGCAATTTGCATTATTGTGTTTTCACTAGATCTCAATTTAGCAAAATGTATTCATTGTCCTCTGAATACTTGTATTGAGAACACATTTTTATTGAATGTTTATGTGACGATTGCATACTACACACTATTGAAAAGAATATTGTCTAGATCTCTCATTCAACGAGTTGTGAAAGTAAAATGGTCAACCGTATGCACATATATTTTTAAACTGCAGGGCTAAAGGTGAATTAAATGGGTTAACTTACTCTGTGATTAGAGTGATCAGCATCACCTGTGAACTCTGCTTGAGGGATTGATGAGGCAGAACACTCAGTGGCTGAAACGTGAGGTATAAGCAGAGTTTCAGGATTTTATCCACAAAATATAATTGGCCAAGTTTAAGTCAAGGTCACATGACAGGAAAACACAGGAACACTATGTGTAAATTTCTCACTGAATTAATTGTATTTATTGGCTTGTAAGTTGGACTGTATACAAAATTCTGTAAAATAAATTAAAGGTGAACCTTTATAATATGTTCTATGTTCTTTAGTTGTCCTTTTCAATATTCTTTGAACATATAAATTCATCAGCAGTTTTAAATGATAAAGTATGGTACGGGACAGCTACAGATGTGAACTATGTTACATTAATTAGCTGGGAAGTCTGTAGAAATTCAAAAAGCTCCTGTACAATATACTGTAAGTGGAACCAATGTCTGCTATTACCAAGAGACCCCTGGTTGGCTGAATTTCAGCAATTTTAATAATAATAATAATAATAATAATAATAATAATAATAATTGCTTACACTTATATACCCCAATTTTACCCCATCTGTCCTGAAGTCTCACCTGAATCAAATAGAGGGGACAATGCTGTTAAACTCTTTTACTAGAAAGGTACAGCTCAGTTAAAATTTCCCAGTACAGAAAGCGGCAATTTTACAATAAACCTGAACAATAATTGTACTAAATACTAACAGTACAAAGAAGGCAAAAAGAAAGAAATTACACAAATAGTAACACAATAAAACTGTATTACATTTGTGCTTAAAATTATTACAATACAGTATGTACAAGAGTAGTCCGAAAATAAACATCTCATGCCGTGTGACACATAAAAACCAATCATATACAACAGCAAGCAAAGAAAAATCTTATATATTTACAGCTGCAATTTAAAGTGAAAATTTATTGGTCTCTTTATTTTGCAAAAACATTGCCTGCCTTGTGCATGTTGCGTTTTTAACACAGTAGTTTATAGAAATAGTGATGCTCCGTATTTTATACGGCAGATATTATTTTCCCATAAGCAAACAGTGTCTTAAGGCAATGGATTGGACAAACTGGTCATTCTGAATATTGTAATAAAGCAACACCCTGGAGAGGCTTCTCATTCATGGCAGCAATATAGTGTAGATGAGCAGCAGTGATTCAGTTCAAGTACAGTATCTGCTCTTAAGGCGTGAAGCTATTATTACATTAATGGGTTAAAAATACTTCAGTAGAAAAAAGAATGAAACCACCAGCCCTTCATCAGTCACTTATGGGTAGATAAACAACAGGACTCATGCAAGCAAAATAGCAGATAAAGACACTGTGGACAACTGCATGGGAAACACTCAGGACGAAGGCAGGTGAAGGTTTGCTAAATATCGAGACCTGTGAACTTTCACTGTAACACATTTCTGTCGAGTACTGGCTTTAACTTGTCCAGCATCAGGGCAGATTGAGACTAGAATGACACAAATATGTACCAGGATATGAATAAACAGCGTTATGTGGACTGAAAATGACCTGACCTCCTGGTAAAACCCATTAGACCTGAGAATGGGAGGTGGCTAGACTGCATCTCCCTCACCTCTGTGGCTAAGCACAGGAAAAGTGCCCGTAAAAAATAAAATAAGATTGCAAAGTTGGCATCCTGTTTTTCTTTATTTCTATGAATTTGTCCCCTGAAGCACAGAAGCAGTTGCCAGAGCTCAAGGAGAGACCTACAGTATGTGCAGATCCCAGTAAGGCCTGTGTTGGTGGCTGAGGTGGGAGAGATGAAGCCAGCAGTCATCCCAAACAAACCAAATCCCATTCTGTCCTTCATATCTGAGCCAGGTCTCCACTTTGCTTTTGTCTGTCCCTATAGCTAATCTATACAACAAATCCCTGTCTTGTTTGTTATGTACATGTGGGGAGAATGCTAAGAAGGAGTTAGTGCTTTTGGTGTCAAACTGCAGGTCTTCTTTCTGTGTCTCTTTTGAAGCCAAGCTCAGCGAACTTGGGGCGCGTAGCCTTCTTTCATTAAGCCTTCCTCGTAGTCTGTCTGGCAAAGGATCATATTGTTCTTCAAGAAAAATTTGTCACCCACGCAAAACCTGGAAATGGAAACAGCAAGAAAAATGAGTTATTGAGCATCTTATACAGTCTTCCACAGACAGTTCTTCATTAGCATGAAATGGCTGGCTTAGTGATTGTGTTGTGCTCAGGTTCGTTCATTTTAGGTCTACAGCCATTACTTAAGGCATCACCATCATCCAAGACCTTTTGTTATTTTTAAAAGTGAATGTAAGTCAGTTTTGACCTTTTTTATTGCAGCCAAGCTAAGATTAAGTTTAATGAAACACTCTGACAAGATGTCCTTGGGGCAGCTTATCTTATTTGCAGTGGGGGTCCTACAAGGTCTCCACAAATGTGGAGATATTGTTTACCTGAGGATACAGTTTCTCCACTTGTCTTTATTTCACTTTACTTTTCTAACCACCTAAGGAAAACGTTTCAAGTTGCCTCAGGGACTTTCACCAAAGCAGCACATCTCAGCCAAACCATTACCTGCCTTCTGTGATTCTGAGGTTAAATGTAACATTTTTCTGTTATTTTTAGATTAAAGTCCCCATATCAGTAAGACTATAAAACAATGGGCCATATATACTAGTTTCTGTGTTTTTAAAATAGTGCATGGACTACTGCTTTTATTGATATTGATAAATTGATATTTAAATTGCTTCTGTATACGCCTTATAAATACCATTTATATTGGTGCACGAACATTATGAGGCACATGTATGAGTACAGAATGTACGTAGCCATAGTACCAGTTTCATGTTTTTACCTTATTCACTATTTTATGTGCCATTAAATTTTTATATAATAAAGCAAGTAGGGAGCTACAGTATGTCAGCATGTGATCTGGAAAGGAACAAATAGGGAATAATTATTTAACACTGAAAAGTAGAAAGAAGGAAAACATTTCGGCTGTTGAGTCTTAAGTTGCTTTCTTCTCACACACCTGGAAAACCTCAACAGCTGAAACGTAGTGTCCTTTCTTCCTACTTTCAAGTGTGGAATACATTTCTGCTTGTTACATAAACAGTGATTTTAAACATGTTTTCCAGACAGATTTCTGTAATTCATTTTTGACAGTATTGGGTAGTATTTTCCCTTCACTTGTTTTACAAACAAAAGAATGCTTGTTGCTTAAGTAACAGCTGAATTTTAACTTCTCAGACCATCTGGACAAATATACTGTAGTGCAAATTGAAACACAAAATCCAGACATCCCAGAAAATGACAACAAAGAGCCTCAGAGCACCTTCTATACTCTAGTTTCAAGCCCCAAACATAGTTGGTTTCACTCCTTGGCCCTTGTGTTTGTTTGCCTTCTTAAGACAAGAAAGCTCAGGGATATTTTTGTAAATTGTAGCTAGTCAATCATGTATGTTTAAAGCTGAAATACAACAATGAAACAAAAAAGTAACCGTACCACAATGATGGCATTGGATTAATTGATTAATATGTAGAGTGTCTTTCATATTAATTTGAGGCTCTTTAAGAACTTGCTGTGTCCACAGTGTTATAGTAAGCTGCAGTAATATTAAGAGTGACAATGCAACACCGTTATTTTAAGTAACCATTAAGACATAGGTCGTGCAAAATTATTATTTATTTTTTTTTACATTCATTAAAATGAAATAAATGTATACAGTATTTAATTTTACCTGTGGTCATATTTAATAAGTTCAGCATTTGAGACTGGTATGTACGTTAGCTGATAAATAAAACCAACTAATTGCTTTCTTCTCTTTTTTGTTAACCAATTAGGCTTTTTTCTGTTAACACCTACAGTATATGACAAAAGAAAATGCAAAGCATTCAGTCTTCTTAAGAAAGGAACATCTGAAACAAAGCTACACATTTTCAGATCTGTGACATGCCAGCCACATGCCCTCAAGGCACACGTTAACTACAGTACAGTAATCATTTTCATCTCTCACAAAAGAACAAGTGTTTTGCACAAAAGAAAAAGAAAATCTCTCCAAGACCAAATCTAATTATGATTAAGATACCATACAGTTCAAAACACATTTGACCTTATGACACTAATTCTTAATTGTACCAGTATGTCTTGTAAGGGAAGCTTCTAGCTTGTAGAAAACATACTGAAAGTCTGAAAATTACAGTAAGAATGTATACAGTATGTAAAAATGGTATATACACATCTGAAGTAACAGAAAAGAAAAAGAAACATATGGTAAACTTCACATATTTCTTGATTTTGCTCGTGCTGTAAATTGATTTAGTAAACACAATGTGGAAAAGTTCCTAACATGTCCAATAACCTTTTTGTAGTTAAAGACTAGATTCAGCTTCTATGCAGTTAATGCTATGAATGCTGAAGTAACAATCTGTGAGAGCCCTGGAGAGTTCAGCAGTAGCTATGGCCAATAGATGCTGCCGATCACTTTCTGGTTTCAGGCTTAAAAATATCTGTCATCCAAAAATATCCAGTAGTTTTCATGTAGACATGCAATATTGAAAAAATGCTTACGGCCTGGACCAACTGTCTTTCTTCTTTAATATTATTTTCACCTTCTTACTAGGGCCTATTTCTGATTCCCTTACAGTTTATCCTGTAGAGTATGTTTTTGTTAAATTTTCTTTTTGTTGTACTGTTTTGTCTTTTTTTCTTTTTTGCACTGAGTACTGCATTCTTGAGCTTGGAAAGGTGTCTTATTTATCAAAATTATTATTAAATATCCACCACAGGACGTACAGCTATGAGGCTAATATCTTGATCCTATTACTCAGAGTTCCAAATACTACTGAGACGGGCTCCCCATTGGCTCAACCTCTACAAACGCTCATGTGGCTGATCCTGACGAGTGAGGTTAGTCAGCCAGGGACCTCTGTGGCTTTCTGGGCACTTGCAGTCCTGCAGGTGCACAAAATGCCTTGGGTCTGGACCTTCAGTGACATGTCAGAAGATGGGAGGCACAAGGTTTGCAAGATCAATCTGCAGCTGTAAGCCGAGACATGGAGAACACAACTGACAATTCCAAATATATATATAAATGGATCCATAACAAAACAAATAGTACTTAGACACTTCTCTCACATTCCATTTTATAACGTTAAGCACCTCCCCAAACAAATATCCAACGCAGGTTTAACTTTTTGAAAAGAAGCTGAATGCTCAACGGAGAAACATCACCCAATTGTGCCATGTCATGCCATTCAACTACATAGTGAGCTGAGAGTTCCAACCAACAGAGTCCGTAGATGAAACCTCAGTGACCCTCAATTATGCAAGCATGGTTTTTCTGGATTTACCTCAATCTTTTGCTTAGGTTCATCATCAGAAAATTTGATTTATAGTTGTTTATTCTAGAGGTAAGCAGTACAACATCAGTGCAATCTGGTAAAAAAAAGGACTTCATCGACCAAACAATTCCATCGGTACAGTATCTACCCAGTAGTTGGAGTCTGCAGATAAAGAAAATGAATGTTCTCCCCTCCAGGGTGAGCTTCACCAAATGTGGAGTAGCTTACCGATTCTGGTACCACATCGATTTGAATCAATGATGTAAAAAGTGGAAAAGTGGAAATTTTCTCACTGAACTTGTCTTTCTCTCATAAAGCAGTTCATGTTTAGCCACAAGTTGTAAGAACACAGGTATAAGACAAACACAACATTTGCTGTGGAGTTATCTAAAATCAGAACAGATTCACACTAAGACAGAAATTTGATTAAATAAAACAATGTGCTGTATTTTATATTTTCTATGGTAGATTCACCAAAAAAAGGAACTACGGAAACTGCTATACATACAGTACATACTTGATTGCAGTAATTTAACCTTCAAACGCTGATGTCAGCTGCAGCTGACCTGGTAAAACTACACATAATTACACATCATGACCCAGATGACCTCTGATCGCAGACTCTGTTTATCAGATAGTAAATTTCTAATGATGTTCCACTAGAAATCTTTTTGCCATTTGTCAGATAGATTAGATTGCTTTATTGGATGCATATCCTTTAATGTTAGTCAGGCTAAAAGATTTTCAAATGAGACGCTGCTATGGCACGGATGTACTCAGGAAAAGATTGGAATGTGAGACAAATGGAGCGACCGATTTTCTTGTTGGTTGTACGGAGCTTGAAAAGAACTAGGAAAGAGCTATGTGAACACAAGCTTTATCATGAAACAAATATGACATGTTAATTCTGTAAATATATTTCTGTGCAATGTAATCTGCTTGATTAGTTTCATACATAGCTAAGTAATTAAGGCATTAATACCACTGTAGTGAAAAAATAAAAATACTAGGATGCCAGGCATACTGTACATACTCTTTACAAATCATGTAACAGAAACAGAACTATTATTACAGAGTACAATTAGGCACATGATTGTGTAACCCTTAATGATGTAACTTAATGATCAACTTTGTAAAACTGTGTATTTAAAAAGGATCAAGTCTATGGTGACCATATGACTCTACAGTCACTGGGATACTGCAAAATAATTTTAAAATGAACCTGAAATGGAGTGATGTTAGCTTTTAAATTAAGAAATTACACCTTTGCTGAAATTAATGCTGGTATTTAATGATCATGTGCATTAAATTTATTACCCTGGTCAAAGGTTTATTATCCTTGCCAATGACCAGAGTGAACAGCTGATCAATGTCAATGATTTGTTTGCAAAAAGTCATTATAAGCTAGGCTTTGTGTTTTAACATTATTAACAAAAGATAGTTACTTACTCACTCAAAACTGTAACTGTAAACAAACAGCTACACACATGAATAAACATTAATATTTACAATAAAAGTAAAGAACACTTTTTCTATTATTATTTTTTTCTTTAATTAATTTATTCTAGAATTTGATATTTAAAATTCTATTTCATTGCAATTTCAAAATCCAGTGCTGTCTGAATTGCCTATTTTAGCTACCAAATGTAATTTCTCAATATTGGAAGTGCATTTCTACAAACTGTCTATAACAACAAAACATATCAACTTCCCCTTTACCTTGGCCTACATAAGACATCTTCAGGATTCTATAAGATACAAGCCTCACATCATAAAG